TTTTTTTTGTGTGGGGTTGGGGGGGGGGGGGGAAGCAGGAGGGCAGGCGGGAAAGATGGGGGGTGCATGCTGTTGAAACCACCTCGCTTCTGTTCAAATCGCGGCCCGCTGTGTCATGCAAAGCTTTAGTCCTTATAGCGGGGAAGTATTGACCAGCAGCGTTTACATGGGCCGCTCCCGGATTCTTTGAACGGCAAAGGCTGAAAAACATCGAGTCTGCAGCAGGGTTCTGGCGGAGTGACCGGGCGCTTGGTAGCCATCTCTCATCCTCGCTGGCCTCCTTAGTTCATGGGACTCCTCGCGGCCCGCTGTGTCATGCAAAGCTTTAGTCCTTATAGCGGGGAAGTATTGACCAGCAGCGTTTACATGGGCCGCTCCCGGATTCTTTGAACGGCAAAGGCTGAAAAACATCGAGTCTGCAGCAGGGTTCTGGCGGAGTGACCGGGCGCTTGGTAGCCATCTCTCATCCTCGCTGGCCTCCTTAGTTCATGGGACTCCCCCCTTACCTTTGTTCATATCAGTGACTTTTCGGGGCGACTCCGCTTCGTAGCGGTGTAAGGGGCATTGCGGGAAGCAAAGCCGGAGGCATCCCCTTTCCTAATAACTATGCATGAAGCCCACACGCGCAGGCGTCTGTGGGCGCACCCCAAAAGACACCTTTTTTTTCCACGCAGAGCGCTGAGGTTTTGCTTTCCAGACCTCGTTCCTGAAGGAGGCCCTCACATATTTGTAATTAGTGTGAGACAGAAAGGTTTGTTATTGGAAACAGGCCCTTTCTTCCCCGCGCACCTCTTTGTTCTGTCCGCCAGCACTGTGATCCGAAGCCGGATTCGCAGCAAACCAACTGGAGTGGCATTTTCTAATCGCCGCTACGATTTATTTATGGGGGGAGGGTAGGGAGAGGACAACACGCGAGATTGTCTCTGTATAATATCAATATATTGGGAGGAAAGAAAGTATATGAAACTGCTTCCTCCCCACGGAATAGAGCTAGATCATTAGGTGTAATCGCACCTTGTGGCAGTTTTGGGTTCCCTTTGAGCGCTTCTCTTTGAGTAAGGATCGAGCCGGGGCGTGCAGTTTGGGCGCTTCGCAGCTCGCGTAGCTTCCCTCTGACAGATTTATGATCCCCAATAAAAACGGCGTGTTTGAATTCGTAAATCAATCTCCCTTCCCCACTATATAAACGTTCATTTTATCTCGAGGAAGAAAGCTGCTTTGATGATCGCACCTCGGAGCTGGAGGGTGCTGTTTATGGCCACAGTCCCTATTCTTTGAACTTTTAGCGAAAGTTGCTCTTCTTTAAGAAAAATGCAGCCGTGTTTTTTCTTTCTTTTTTGTTTGTTTGTTTGCTTATTTGGTGGGGCTAGCAAGCAAAATCCGGATGGGGGACAGTTTGCTTTTTTGAGGGGAGGGGAAGGGTCTTTTCTGGAGGAAAATATGTGGCTTTGCAATTTGCCTCTTCCTGGGGAGGTCCCAGACTGAAAAAATCATCTCATTCTACGCATAAAGGAAATTTGTTTTATTAGATAACGGCTCCTCTATCAACATACGGCACAGAACGCGTTTAACCCTATCCCCCCGAATAAACTCTATTTCCCCCTTTGCTGTGTTTCCCCCTCTCTGTCTTTCTC